GAAAGGTGAAGTACAGATGTGTTTGTGAAGGGTGGTAGTATAGATGATGCTGTGAAGGTGAGAAATACAGATATTGCATGAATGTTTCCGGGTTGTGAGACGAGTCAGTGGAACAGAGATACAACCACGTCACGGGAGAGCAGGATGCAACATTATGTTATTATAAGCTCTGAGGTTGAGTGGTTGCAGCATTTGTCCTACTGTAAGCATGGACCACGGTTTGAGTCCCCTTCCACTCATATTCATCAACATGCATAATTACATGCAATGCATAAACGTACACACAAGCATTTGTATGTGAATGCATGTACCTGCACGTACATTCAAACAAATATACACAAATATACATACGCATGTATACATGTTTTAATATTTTAGCACCTTAGAATGTATCACGTGTCGTGTACACTGAGGTAGACGGGACTGGGGGTATACTGGGATACCCTTATTATCGTGGTAGTAAAGTGTGAGAGATAAACAAGCCTGGGTTTACTAGCAGAACTGAAGCGTATTATTGTGGCCATCTACAGATGAAAGTTATCAGAAACTGATTGTTACAAGACCTGGAAATGACAGGATTATGAGCTCAGTACAGTTGTTTAACAGTCGTAGTCAGAGACAAAATTGTGAGAAGTATTAGTTTAGCATATTTAAAATTAAATGTTGTGTTGATTGAGCATCGTGATTTTTAATCCATTGATCGTTACATATTGAAATTTATTCTGTAACAAGAGCGGGTGAGAATAAACTTACTGTAGTGTTTTAAATGTCTTATATTCTGTCATCACTAAAATAAACATCCACTTCGTCTAAGAGCTTTGAAATTTATAGTGGAAGAGGAAACTTAACTGAGGGTTAGTTACTGTGGGTGGGCAATCAAGGTACGTTAGTGAATGCATCGAAATAATTCAAATAACTTGGTGGAAAAAAAATCAAGGAACGGATGGGATTTGAACCCACTTGCTATGCGTTCAAATCCCACCCGTTTCGTGGTTTGTTTGAAATCGTGTTATTAGAATTTCGTGAGATACTTAGAGACTTACTCTGTGGGAGAAAAAAATAACCATGGCTAATGAGTGTTGCTTGTAGTAACAACGCTCAGGTTGAATATTAATGTAAATTCCAGGTAAAAAGTGTAAAAGATAGTGACTTGTGACTGCTTCTGTGTTACTAACAATAACAGCTTGAGTTAGTCACCCTTGTTATCTGCTACAAATACTCAAGTCTTAGGAAATGGCTTTCCACGTTCAGTAAAACGAGTGGAATAATCAGTGTTGCTGTTTGGCAGGTAAAGTCTGACTATTGTGTTGCAGTAAGTAAACATTACCAAACAGATTGTTGGTTAATGCCACACTGTAGTCACTACACATTAATGGACACAGAGAATCAAGTGTTTAATTTGGATATTTTGATGTTAGATTTTCTGAATAGTTTTTGAACTTATATAAGGTTGAGGAAAACCATAACAAAGTTAATAAATTAGACATGTGTAACTCTTGGGTATCTTTATTGAGGAAACGTTTCCTCAGTAAAGATACCCAAGAGTTGCACATGTGTCTAATTTATCAACGTGTCGGTTCTGCGAACCATTCATCAACATAGCAAAGTCAATAGTGTAAACTTCAATACGCTGCAATACCTGGAGTATACCTGGAGAGGGTTTCGGGGGTCAATGTCCCCTCGGCCCGGTCTGAGACCAAACCTCCTGGTGGATCAGGTTCTGATAAGAAAAAGCTGTTTGTATGCTGCTGGCAGCATACAAACTGACCTGACCGGCTGGTCAGGTATTGACTCCAGGTGCCTGTTCAGTACCTTCTTGAAGACAGCCACGGGTAGGATCCTGGCGACTCCTGCCAAACTGAATACACGACAGGTATCCAGTAGGCCTATTTCAAGAGGCTACACTCTTATTTTACACCACATTTATTTTGGTATCTTAACTATACTCTGTATACCACTCTGATAAACATTGAATCGCTATTTAAGGCGCTCTGTTTACAGGGAGGCTTCTTTTTCTCTAGCAGAGATTATACTAAGTTAATTTTTTTCGAACGGCATTTTAGGCTTATAGCTGACCTGGTGTAAGAATGGCACCACTATCTTATAGATGACCTGGTGTAAGAATGGCACCACTACTATCTTATACGCCCACTTTCCTTGTTTCTGGCTCAGTATGTACTATTCTATTTCTAGATTAGTTCAAGCGTTTGAGAGATATACTTTACAGGACTCACGAAATCGTAATGACACGATTGCAAACAAAAAATACCACGGGCGGGGTTTGAATCCGCAATCAGAGAGTCACAAAACTCGACGAGTGTTAAGCCGGGCAAAAGCGTCGGTCTGGAGTTTGGAGTCTCTGACGGGGTTCTAACTCCGCCCAGGGTATGATATATATACTAAAGTTCACTGGCACGGAAAATACGTAATCCGAACAACAGAGTGCATCGGAAGTGATGGTGAGCACGCGGGAAGTGACAGTATGCACGAAGGGTGACGTGATGCACGCTGGAATACGGTGATGCACGCGGGGAAGTGACGTGATGCACGAAGGAAATGACGGTATAACACCGGGAAGTGACGTGATCACGCGGGAAGTGACGGTGATCCGGGGAAGTGACGGTGATGCACGAAGGGAAGTGACGGTGATGCACGCGGGGAAGTGACGGTGATGCACGAAGGGAAGTGACGGTGATGCACGAAGGGAAGTGACGGTGATGCACGCGGGGGAGTGACGGTGATGCACACGGGGGAGTGACGTTAGAACACGCGTATAGCGTGCGTGATGTTTGTTAGACTGTCTAGCATATACTGTCAAGGTGAAGCACACAAGGAGAGTATATCTGTGAGATCAATGTGTTGTCCGACTGGTAGCGCACAACACGACCATATATCATACACAAACATGTGTTCCAGACATATGTCAACTATGATGCAGAGTCAGTAATCACCGAGCATGACACCCCAGCCAGCCCGCCTCAGAGAAGGGAACAGTTTAAGGTGCGGGTAACAGTAGTTTACCACTGTACCTTAATACAACCACCCAAATCCACCCACCCCAGGCCTCAGATTTTGTAGCCCCGTTCATGCAGAAAACTGAAGAACCCAGCACCTCTCTGACGTTCTAGTACTCTCACTAGAACACACCTAATGCTCCAAATCACGAAGATATTAAAACATCTCAACACCTCAATAAAAGAGCCACACACCTTAAAAATGTTTTTCCTCACGTAGATCACACTGAAAGATCCACTATTAAAAATCTCGCACATTTAAGACGTTATAACACCTTTCTTTAGATCACTTTATAAGTCTCCACACTTCTGCAATAATGTACCTTTTCTTAATATAAAGCTCCCAACTCAGCTAAATTGTTGCATTACCTTTCCTAGACCCTTTGAAGGAATCGTTTGGAGGAATTTCTTCTATTTGGGCAGAGAGACGTGTGTGAGCCATTAGTGTCCTGTCACTGTTAATAGCGTCAACAGCGTAGCGGAAGGCCACCTCTTGTCTCTCGTTCGAGTCAAACAGCCCTCCTGCAATAGCAACAATTGTTTATTAATAATAATTAAATATGATCCAAGAAAGGTATTGAGTCCATAAACCCAGGCCTCTCTATATCGATGCATCAGTGGTAGTATTGTTACAAAATTTCTAGTGAAGTTAAAATTCGGCCGTGAAAAGGTAAAAACATTCAGAAAAGCCATTTATAAGTCGTGACAAGGTAATAATAGTTTTTGCTAATAAAAATGGCAAATTGGTACATACACAACCCAGAACCAATTCGAACCTTTCAGTAAGAAACTCCAGCTTTGAAAGTAAAGCCAATCAGAAGAGGCATTCTCTAGTTATTCTTACAGATGACAGTGTTACAAAATACACAAAACTTGACGCTGAAGTCACTGTTCAGAATGACATCGAAACCACAACTAATTTGCATAAAATCTGCAAACTGGCACCTACCCAGGCACTGATGAAGATGTAAAATGTCTGGATGTGAGGCTCCAGGGAGCCAGATTATTAGTAGTAGTATAGTCAAGTGAGAAAGGTGACCCATAGAGAGCTTACGGCATCTAAGGAATGGATATGATGTGGATATACGACAGTTTGATGGGAGGAAGGGAAGGATGGAGGAAGGGAAGGATGGAGGAAGGGAAGGATGGAGGAAGGGAAGGATGGAGGAAGGGAAGGATGGAGGAAGCGGTCTCTAATTCCTTTCAACGATAATTACTCACCAAAATTCAGAAGTGGTGAGAAAAACAGGAGGAGCCAAAGATCGATCAAAACTTTAGGAGAGAAATATGCACAGTTACAAAGGCTCAAAAATACAACAAACTCAAAGGAACAGATAAATAAGAGAAAGAGTTGGACGGGCAAAGATCTAACTGAAATTAGGGAAGTTATGAAGAATTATATGTTGACTCCTACTGTTTCCATTTTCAAGATTACTGAACGTGAGGTGAATCTAAGCATTCTGACTTTCAGATTAATTAAAATAATAACAACATTACTTCTGTGTGGTGTCTGTTGTTGCTGTTGTTGTTATAAAAGTGGAGTCAGGCAATAATTATGCACTTAGTGATACAAACACAGTATTTGACACACTTGTACACGTTTATTGTGACCAGACCTGTCTAGCGAGCCATCACCAGAATGGAGGCTAATGAGCACAGCTTCCAGACTAATGAGCACAGCTTCCAGACTAATGAGCACAGCTTCCAGACTAATGAGCACAGCTTCCAGACTAATGAGCACAGCTTCCACACTAATGAGCACAGCTTCCAGACTAATGAGCACAGCTTCCAGACTAATGAGCACAGCTTCCAGACTAATGAGCACAGCTTCCAGACTAATGAGCACAGCTTCTAGACTAATGAGCACAGCTTCCAGACTAATGGTGATGATGGTTTCCGATAAACAGTATATGGATTTTTAACACGACTCAGCAAGGTTTGAGAAACCATGTTCAATAGCTTCAAATCACTTTACACTGACCATTCAGGTCCTCAGCGCTCTGAGATCCTGGTCAGACTCATTAGAATTTGTGTATAATTTGCTTAGAAGGAAAAGAAGAACAACTGATATGTCCTTTTAAGTCCAAATGGAAAGACAGAAAATTGGGTACTGTTTACCAAAATTAATATACCAAAATGTTGCATAAGTATCTTATTTAGAAACCTATTTTCTATTTACAAAAATACTATTTACTATGACTAGAAATTGATCAAATTCATACATCATGAATAATGCATAAGAGATCTCCACCTGGGAAGACTTAATGAAGGTGAGGGGACTGAAGCAACCATGGTTACCACACTCTACCTCATCACGGAGCAACCATGGTTACCACACTCTACCTCATCACGGAGCAACCATGGTTACCACACTCTACCTCATCACGGAGCAACCATGGTTACCACACTCTACCTCATCACAGAGAGTTGAAAATAGAATGCTCAAGGCGAGAAATAAATATAATAATGTACCAGTACCAGTTTCATACATGTACCAGTTTCATACATGTACCAGTTTCATACATGTACCAGTTTCATACATGTACCAGTTTCATACATGTACCAGTTTCATACATGTACCAGTTTCATACATGTACCAGTTTCATACATGTACCAGTTTCATACATGTGTAGGTGACATTCACTTCATGGAACACAGGGAAGACTGCCCAAAAAGTTTATTATGTGAGGGGGCCAAGACTGTTCAACTACCTCTTAGCATACATTAAGGAGATTACGAATAGACCCCTGGCTGTCTTCAAGAGGGAGTAGGATACAAACCTGAAGTCAGTACCTGACCAGCCGGGTTGTGATTCGTATGTTGATTTGAATGCGGCTAGCAGTAACAGCCTGGTCGATCAGGCCCTGATCCACCGCAAGACCTGGTCATGAACCGGGCCGCGGGGGCGTTAACCCCCGAGACACCCCCAGGTATACCCAATGGTGTACCGTTTTTTAAAAGACTGCCTGAATTTTGTCCATCCTACTCTAACTTTATTTTAATTCGCTCATAACCTGAGAACGCCTCATTAAATCACTTTAAAATTTTCAATAACCTCGTACAGTAACGAGGACTAAATTCTTGAAGCAATTGGCATGTTGACATGCCCCATGAGCGATGTTGTTGAACCCCTTTCCAGCGTCCTGGAATGGCTCTGATAACTTCCAAAACCCTTAAGAAAAGTGTCGAAATATTGGATAGTTCGGACAGTGAAATTCAGTAGTGTTGGTGCAGAGTTGACGAATTTACGTAGAAAATAGTGAGGAGGTTTAATCCCATTAAATAATTTCAGTGTACCTCTCCTGAACTTATTCAGTATATAATGGCTGGTGCGTCTTAGAGCCAAGATGGCGTATATTAAGTTTTATTTGTGTGTTCGTAAATTTGTGGTGAAACAGAAGAAAAAACTTGGGACAGTTGGAATCAGAGGTTTCCTCAACACAAGGTTTCCTCAACACAAGGTTTCCTCAACACAAGGTATCCTAAACACAAGGTTTCCTAAACACAAGGTTTCCTAAACACTAGGTTTCCTCAACACAAGGTTTCCTCAACACAAGGTTTCCTCAACACAAGGTTTCCTCAACACAAGGTATCCTAAACACAAGGTTTCCTAAACACAAGGTTTCCTAAACACTAGGTTTCCTCAACACAAGGTTTCCTCAACACAAGGTTTCAACACAAGGTTTCCTAAACACAAGGTTTCCTAAACACAGGGTTTCCTCAACACAGGATTTCCTCAACACAAGGTTTCCTCAAAACAAGGTTTCCTCAACACAGGGTTTCCTCAACACAAGGTTTCCTCAACACAGGGTTTCCTCAACACAGGGTTTCCTCAACACAGGGTTTCCTCAACACAGGGTTTCCTCAACACAAGGTTTCCTCAACACAGGGTTTCCTCAACACAGGGTTTCCTCAACACAGGATTTCCTCAACACAAGGTTTCCTCAACACAGGGTTTCCTCAACACAGGGTTTCCTCAACACAGGGTTTCCTCAACACAGGGTTTCCTCAACACAGGGTTTCCTCAACACAGGGTTTCCTCAACACAGGGTTTCCTCAACACAGGGTTTCCTCAACACAGGGTTTTCTCAACACAGGGTTTCCTCAACACCAGGTTTCCTCAACACAGGGTTTCCTCAACACAGGGTTTCCAAAACACAGGGTTTCCTCAACACAGGGTTTCCTCAACACAGTTTCCTCAACACAGGGTTTCCTCAACACAGTGTTTCCTCAACACAGGGTTTCCTCAACACAGGGTTTCCTTAACACAGGGTTTCCGCAACACAGGGTTTCCTCAACACAGGGTTTCCTCAACACAGGGTTTCCTCAACACAGGGTTTCAACACAGTGTTTCCTCAACACAAGGTTTCCTCAACACAGGGTTTCAACACAGGGTTTCAACACAGGGTTTCCTCAACACAGGGTTTCCTCAACACACGGTTTCCTCAACACAAGGTTTCCTCAACACAGGGTTTCCTCAACACAGGGTTTCCTCAACACAGGGTTTCCTCAACACACGGTTTCCTCAACACAGGGTTTCCTCAACACAGGGTTTCCTCAACACAGGGTTTCCTCAACACAGAGTTTCCTCAACACAGGGTTTCTTCAACACAGTGTTTCCTCAACACAGGGTTTCCTCAACACAGAGTTTCCTCAACACAGGGTTTCTTCAACACAGTGTTTCCTCAACACAGGGTTTCCTCAACACAGTGTTTCCTCAACACAGGGTTTCCTCAACACAGGGTTTCCTCAACACAGGGTTTCCTCAACACAGGGTTTCCTCAACACAGGGTTTCCTCAACACAGGGTTTCCTCAACACAGGGTTTCCTCAACACAGGGTTTCAACACAGGGTTTCCTCAACACAGGGTTTCCTCAACACACGGTTTCCTCAACACAAGGTTTCCTCAACACAGGGTTTCCTCAACACACGGTTTCCTCAACACAAGGTTTCCTCAACACAGGGTTTCCTCAACACAGGGTTTCCTTAACACAGGGTTTCAACACAGGGTTTCCTCAACAGAGGGTTTCCTCAACACAAGGTTTCCTCAACACAGGGTTTCCTCAACACAGGGTTTCCTCAACACAGGGTTTCAACACAAGGTTTCCTCAACACATGGTTTCCTCAACACACGGTTTCCTCAACACAAGGTTTCCTCAACACAGGGTTTCCTCAACACACGGTTTCCTCAACACAAGGTTTCCTCAACACAGGGTTTCCTCAACACAGGGTTTCCTCAACACAGGGTTTCAACACAGGGTTTCCTCAACACAGGGTTTCCTCAACACACGGTTTCCTCAACACAAGGTTTCCTCAACACAGGGTTTCCTCAACACAGGGTTTCCAAAACACAGGGTTTCCTCAACACAGGGTTTCCTCAACACAGAGTTTCCTCAACACAGGGTTTCCTCAACACACTGTTTCCTCAACACAAGGTTTCCTCAACACAGGGTTTCCTCAACACAGGGTTTCCTCAAACACACGGTTTCCTCAACACAAGGTTTCCTCAACACAAGGTTTCCTCAACACAGGGTTTCCTCAACACAGGGTTTCCTCAACACACGGTTTCCTCAACACAAGGTTTCCTCAACACAGGGTTTCCTCAACACAGGGTTTCCAAAACACAGGGTTTCCTCAACACAGGGTTTCCTCAACACAGAGTTTCCTCAACACAGGGTTTCCTCAAAACAGGGTTTCCTTAACACAGGGTTTCCTCAACACAGGGTTTCCTCAACACAGGGTTTCCTCAACACAGGGTTTCCTCAACACAGGGTTTCCTCAACACAGGGTTTCCTCAACACAGGGTTTCAACACAAGGTTTCCTCAACACAGGGTTTCCTCAACACACGGTTTCCTCAACACAAGGTTTCCTCAACACAGGGTTTCAACACAGTGTTTCCTCAACACAAGGTTTCCTCAACACAGGGTTTCAACACAGGGTTTCCTCAACACAGGGTTTCCTCAACACACGGTTTCCTCAACACAAGGTTTCCTCAACACAGGGTTTCCTCAACACACGGTTTCCTCAACACAAGGTTTCCTCAACACAAGGTTTCCTCAACACAGGGTTTCCTCAACACAGGGTTTCCTCAACACAGGGTTTCCTCAACACAAGGTTTCCTCAACACAGGGTTTCCTCAACACAGGGTTTCCTCAACACATGGTTTCCTCAACACAGGGTTTCCTCAACACAGGGTTTCCTCAACACAGGGTTTCCTCAACACAGAGTTTCCTCAACACAGGGTTTCCTCAACACAGTGTTTCCTCAACACATTGTTTCCTCAACACAGGGTTTCCTCAACACAGGGTTTCCTCAACACAGGGTTTCCTCAACACAGGGTTTCCTCAACACAGGGTTTCAACACAGTGTTTCCTCAACACAAGGTTTCCCCAACACAGGGTTTCCTCAACACAGGGTTTCCTCAACACACGGTTTCCTCAACACAGGGTTTCCTCAACACAGGTTTCACGTTACTCTTGGGTATCAACAAATTCAAATTTGTCAGTTTTCTTGAATATTCAGTAACTAGAATTAAGTTTAGTCTCAACAGGGGCAGATTGAACATTTTACAAAAACTATTAAAAAAAATGAAATCGTTTAAACCAGTTCAGTTACAAGAGAATGCCTTTCCTGATCGGCTTCAAACTTTTACCTTTGGTGTATTTTACTAAAACGCAGCATGTCACTCAGTCTGAGCTGTGCAAATTTTAATTTTCAAATTGCGTTAAATAAGTTGTTTTAAAACTAGAGACTGACTCTTTTGATCGTCTTCAAAGTTTAAATACTTGCGTATCTTAATTTGAAGTATTTTTACAATAATTGTCGGCTATGTGGGTGCAATTATGTCATTTTTTGCCAATTTTGTTAAAATGGAAATAACAAACAATCGTACAGGATTGTTGAGATGGAGACGCAACAACGTTCAATCCTCGACACGGGTATACACAATCTCTTGCAACAACTGCAACCAATTATACGTCGGAGAGACATTCAGAGATCTCCAAACACGTGTTTCAGAACACCAATAAGCAGGCAGAACGAATAATTTAAGACATTCCTACGTTCTACACCGCAGCTTCCACAACCATTTAATTAACTACAGAGACGCAAGACTCATCACCAGGCAAGAAGACACTCAGTGTCGCAGGATATTGAATTCATCACTTATTTGTATATCTAAAAATTTCACGCCATTGTCAGTGCTGCTATCTCTCTCTCCCAGTGTCTCTCCTGCTCTGTCTCCCTCCTACTGGCTCTGCTGCCTTCTCTTTCTCCCACTGTCTCTGCTGCCATCTCTCCCTGCTACTGTCTCCACTGGCATCTCTCCTTACCACTGCCTCTACAACTATCTCTCCTCCCACTGTCTCTGCTGCCATCTCTGCCTCCCACTGTCTCTGCTGCCATCTCTCTGTCCTACTGTTTCTGCTGCCATCTCTCCCTCCCACTGTCTCTGCTGCCATCTCTCCCTCCCAATGTCTCTGCTGCCATCTCTCCCTCCCACTGTCTCTGCTGCCATCTCTCCCTCCCACTGTCTCTGCTGCCATCCTTCCCTCCCACTGTCTCTGCTTCCATCTTTTCCTCCTACTGTCTTTCTCAGACGGTAGCTCGACTTTCCACTCTCTTCAGCAGCAGTATTTGATCCTCAACCGCGACATTTGATCCTCAGATGTGACAATTGATCCTTATCTGTAACATTTGATCCTCAACTGTGACAAAATAAGAATGTGTCGCTCCTTATTTTGCTTATCGGAATGTAAAAAAAAATCACGATATCATCCTTGTCTTGCCCTCACCTTGCTACACCCTCAGTAGGGGAGAACAGCGAGCTCGTGTAGTGATTTTACCCCTGCTGCACCCTGAGCAGGGTGTTGAGGAGAGCATGGGGATTCAGCTGGACCAGGTATCAATCACTCAGGTTCACAAGACAAGGGAATATTAAGAGCGTGATCTCCACCATTCTGTAAAATTTTCCCTTCACCATCTTCACAAACACCATCATTCTCCATCCACCACACGCCCTTACTAAAATATTTCTTTTCATATACCAAAAACAAAGCAAAAACAACATCCTGCCTCAAGCCATTGAGAAACACACGCGACAGCAAAAAAAAAAAATGAGTGAGATATTGAAGTCTGAGTATGATTCTTAGTTTAGCGAGCCGTTAATCAGTCTGAAAACATTGGCGATCTGAATTACTTTTTTCATGAGCGAGCCTTAACACCGTGTCAATATATGCCAAATTTCTGACATAGCTTTACCTCCACTGGACTTTGAAAAACCTATCCACAACATGTCTATGTACTCTGCTCTAGGCCCAGAGTCGTGGAACTCCGTGTTGATCATAGATTGCAGTAAACTCATTTCGCCTGCCTTAATTATGGTGTGGAGAAGGATAATAGACATGGTTGTCATGCCATGGTCAATGAAAACAACGGATTTAACTCCACTCCATAAAGGTGGCAACAAAGCAATAGCAAAGAATTTTAGACTTACGAAATCGTAATGCCACGATTGGAAACAAATCATACCACGGGTGGCGTTAGAACCCGCGATCATAGAGTAATAAAACTCCAGACCAACGCGTTAGCCACTGAGCCAGATAGCTGACCCAGTGGCTAACGAGTCGGTTTGGAGTTTTATGACTATGATCGCGGGGTCTAACCCCACCTGTGGTATGGTTTCATAAACGACAGCTCTAATACATTATACAAATCTTTCAAACAAGTGTTCTAATAAGCTTGGCTTCCCAACAATTGCACAACCCAGGGCAACATAGGTTTAGAGTAGGTCGCTCCTGTCTCTCAATTACTGGACCGTTATGACAGTCTTGGACGCTCTGAAGACAAACGGAAAATATAGTTGTAGTATACACAGACTCTGCAAAAGCCTTCGACAAATACGATCATGGTGTAATAGCGCACAAAATGCGTGCTAAAGAAAAAACTGAAATAGGTGGCAGATGTATCTAACTTTCTAGCAAACAGAACACAAAGAATAATAGTAAACAGTTAAATCAGAGGTTGCCAGATTGAAAAGCTCTGTACCCACAAAATACAGTATCGCCCATCTGTTCCTATCTATATATGCTAGAAAGAAAACCATAGAATCTAATGTACAACGTCTAAATCAGCATAGGTTCGCCAGACTTGAAAATCTCCCACAAAATATAATCCCAATGTTTATCATTCCAAAAAATAGATGAAAATTCAATAGCCCAAATCTTCTTGAAACGATACTAGAAATCAAACATAGAACAGTTCATCCCTAGAGCGTACAACTAATTGCCAGGATTAATACAACAGTGTTTATCAATGGCGAGAAATAAAATATGAATTTCAAAAATGAGCAGCAATGTTCTGTTAACTCTGTCACGTTAATACTTGTAGGAACATAAAAATAGCAAGGAGTATGTACAAATTCTAACCAAAATATTAGTTAGTACAAAACTATTAAGATTTGGGAATGTTTCAAGTTCTTACTGCATCTCGGGAACGTGATAGAATGATAATATTACAATTTTCAGCACATGATCGTCTGCCACTGACACCCACTTTAATCCATCTCTCTCCAGCAATCACTTTACCAGTATCTACCAACAACCCAGTTTAAAAATTGCAACAAATTTAAAATGTCCCCACGAACACTTTCCCACTGTACATATAGTTTCAGTTTAAACACTTTCAAAATTACTGGCAATATTTCAAGTCTACTGTACACTCACTTAACGTAGGCACTCCAAGAACACTTTCCGCATAATTTCACACATCACTTTCAACCACCATCTCTCCCACACATACTTTCAGACCACCATCTCTCCCACACATCACTTTCAACCAGCATCTCTCCCACACATCACTTTCAACCACCATCTCTCCCACACATCACTTTCAACCACCATCTCTCCCACACATCACTTCAGCCACCATCTCTCCCACACATCACTTTCAGCCAGCATCTCTCCCACACATCACTCTCAGCTCCCCCTCTCTCCACAGTAACTACCATCATTGTTCCTGCGCCACACAGCACTACTACCAACTCTCTCTACCACCTCTGCTACTGTCTTCTCTCACCAGGAACCTCTTCTACCTCCCCTTAACCCCCTTCCACCAGTACCAGCACCTATCATCCACCTCATATCACTGCCATAATCCACTACCACCATCTTATCAGTGGAAAATAGATTATTTATTGCTAAAGAAAAATGTTTATAAATAAATGATTTAAGAACTTATTTGGATTCTTCTATAATTCTCTTCAGACATTTGCAGGCTTTATGCATGCTAATATATCATTAAATATTCAGAATATATATATGAACTTTCAATCCATGAGCAAGTTAGGTTAGGTAAGGTTTGTCAGGAAAGAGGACAAGTGTGTCCTGTCGCGGGTCTTAGTCTTATGACACGCAGCTGGAGCTTTTGGTCATTTGGCCGAGACCTTCCACTGGCTTACTTGTCCACCTCTTTAAAAAATATGGCTATGATTATATCTATCGCATTTTTATGGGGAAATGGAACAGAATTCTTCCTCCGTAAGCCATGAGTGTCATAAGAGGCGACTAAAATACCGGGAGCCACGTTAATAACCCTCTTCTCCTGTATAAATTACTAAATGTAAATAAAAATAAAGAGTTTATGAAAGCGTTCCTTTTGTTTGGAGGTCACACAGTCTCGGTGGGAGAGAGCACGGGTGCTTATAAAATATTTTTAAAAATCCCAGGGAAAAAAGGGGGTTTTAAAACCCGGGGTTTTTCTTTGTACCAGAAAAGCCGAAGCTCCCAAATTTAAAGATGGGAAATTTAAAACCTTTTTTCAAAAAAAGACACCACATGTCCCGGGGTAATTTTGCGGTATTAAACCCCCGTATCAAAATTTAGAGAGACAGACGGGGTTGAACCCCGATAAAAATGAGTTGAATTAATAAGCTTTGTTGACAAAGATACACGTTTTTTACGTTTTTTTGGGGATTTATAAAGTTTAACAGAATTTATTTCAGCTCTTTTACAGGGAAAAAACGGGCTCCTAATAATTACTTGTTCTCTAATATGTTTTTTTTATTTACCAAGTTTACGTGTACATGAGGCCCAAAAATTTCCCCCCAGTGTACTTTACTTTAGGCCAACCCCCCAACCCGTGTAAGTGTAAGAGGCCAACCCCCCCCGTGTACGTGGTTTCATATAGGCAACTCCCCCCAGTGTAAGTTTCATGAGGCCAACCCCCCACCCGTGTAAAGTTCATGAGGCCAACCTCCCACCAGTGTAGTGTACTGAGGCCAAACCCCCCACCCGTGTACGTTTTCAGGGGGCCCCTCCCACCCGTGTACGGGGAACATTTAGGCCAACCTCCCCCAAGTGTCCCTGTTCATTTAGGCCAACCTCCCCCCAGTGTTTGTGAAAATGGGCCAACCTCCACCCGTGTACGTGAAAATGGGGGCCCCAAACCCCCCACCAGGTACGTGTACAGGGGGCCAACCCCCACCGGGGGTACGTGACATGAGGCCAAAACCCCCCCCCCAGTGTTCGTGAACATGAGGCCAACCTCCCCCCAGTGTTTCTGTTTCAAAGAAAGGCCCCAAACCCCCCCCACCCCCCGTACGTGTTTCATGAGGGCCCAAACCCCCCCACCAGGGTAAGGGGTAAATGAGGCCAAACCCCCCACCCGTGTTTCGTGTAAATTTTAGGCCAAACCCCCTACCAGTGTTCGTGTTTAAAGAGGCCCCAACCCCCGACCCGTGTTCCCTGAACATGAGGCCAACCTCCCACCAGTGTACGTGTACATGAGGCCAACCCCCCCACCGGGGTACGTTTACATGAGGCCACCCCCCCACCCAAATGTTAAAGTGAAATGAGGCCCAAACCCCCACCAAATGTCGGGGGAACATGAAGGGGCCCAAACCCCCCAAAAAAGTGTACTTTAAACCCTTGGCCCAAACCCCCCACCCGTGTACGTGAACATGAGGGGCCCAAACCCCCCACCAGTGTAAGTGTACCCGAGGCCCCCCTTCCCCCCAGTGTTTGTGGGAAAATGAGGCCAACCTCCCCCAGTGTACGTGAAAAATGAGGCCCCCTCCCACCCCTGTTTCGTTTAACATGGGCCAAAACCCCCCACCCGTTACGTGAACATGAGGCCAACCTCCCACAAATGTACGTGAAATGAGGAAAAACCTCCCCCCCTTTTGCACGTGACATGAGGCCAACCCCCCACCCGTGTACGTGTACATGAGGCCCAAACCCCCACCAGGTACGTGAAACATGAGGCCCAAAAACCCCCCAGTGTAGGGGTACGGGGGCCAACTCCCCCGTGTACGTGTACATGAGGCCCAAACCCCCCCCAGTTGGAGTGTACTGAGGCCCCAAACCCCCCCACCAGTGTACTTTTACATGAGGCCAACCTCCCCCAGTGTACGTGTACATGAGGCCAACCTCCCCCGTGCACGTGTAATGGGCCAACCTTCCCCCAGTGTACCCGTAATGAAGCAAAACCCCCCACCAGTGTACGTGGTACATGAGGCCCAAACCCCCCCCCAGGACGTTTACAAAGAGGCCAACCTCCCACCCGTGAAAGTGTACATGAGGCCCCCTCCCACCAGTGTTTCGTTTAACATGGGCCAAAATTCCCCCCAGTGTACGTGGGAAAAAGAGGCCCCAAACCCCCCAAAAGTGTACGTTTTAACTGAGGCCAAAAACCCTCCCCGTGTCGTGAAATGAGGCAAACCTCCCCCCTGTGTTTCGTGTACATGAGGGGCCCAAACCCCCCACCCGTGTACGTGTACTTTAGGCCCCCCTCCCACCCGTGTACCCTGAACACGAGGCCAACCTCCCACCAGTGTACGTCAAAAAATTAGGCCCAACCCCCACCAGCGTACGTGACATGAGGGGCCAAACCCCCCACCCGTGTTTTTTTCCTTTTTCAGGAAAGGCCCCAAACCCCCAACCCGTGCACGTGTACATGAGGCCAACCCCCACCAGTGTACCTGTAATGAAGCCAAAAATCCCAACCCGTGTTGTACATGAGGCCCCAAAAACCCCCCAGTGAACGTGTACATGAGGCCCAAACCCCCACCCGTGCACGGGTATGAGGCCAACCTCCCACCAGTGTACGTGTACAGAGGCCCAAACCCCCCACCGTGTACGTGTAAAAAGGGGGCCCCCTCCCCCCGGGGAGTGTACATGAGGCCAAAACCCCCCACCAGTGTTCGGGGTACATGAGGCCAAAAACCCCCCACCAGTGTTGTGTTTCATGAGGCCAACCCCCCACCAGTGTACGTGTAATGAGGGCCAAAAATCCCACCCGTGTAGTGTACATGAGGCCAAAACCCCCAACCCGTGTACGTAACATGAGGGCCCAAACCCCCCCCAGTGTACGTTTTTACATTTTAGGCCAACCTCCCACCAGTTTACGTGTTCATGAGGCCAACCTCCCACCGTTTTACGTGTAAAAAAGGCCAAACCCCCCAACCCGTGTACGTTTACAGGGGGCCCCAAACCCCCCACCGTGTACTGTACATGAGGCCAAAACCCCCCACCAGTGTACGTTTTACATGAGGCCCCCAAACCCCCCACCAGTGTACGTGTACATTTAGGCCAACCTCCCAACCCCGTGCAGGGACATGAGGCCAAACCCCCCACTAGTGCACGTGTTTAAAGAGGCCAAACCCCCCCACCAGTTTTCGTGTACCTGAGGCAACCCCCCTATCAGTGCACCCTGTCCCTGAGGGGCCAAAACCCCCACCAGTGTAGGTAAAATGGGCCAAAATCCCACCAGTGTACGTTTCATTTAGGCCAAACCCCCCCCGTGTACGTGTAAAATGAGGCCAACCCCTCATTTAGTGGGAACGTGTACATGGGGGCCAAAAATCCCCCAGTGAAAAAGTGTACATGAGGTCAACCCCATCAGTGCCGGTACATGAGGCCAACCCCTCAAACCCGGTACGTGAACATTAGGCCAACCTCCCCCAGGGGTTTTCGTGTAATGAGGCCAACCTCCCCCCAGTTTCGTGTTCATGAGGCCAACCTTCCCAAACCCGGTCGTGACATGAGGCCAAACCCCCCACCCGTGTAGTGTAATGGGGGCCAAACCTTATAGTGCACGTGTTTTGAGGCCAACCTCTATCAGTGTAAAGTGTACATGAGGCCAACCTCTCTTTGTGTTTCGTGTAAAATGGGCCAATCTCCCAACCCGTGTAGTGTCCCTGAGGCCAACCTCCCACCAGTGTACGTGTACATGAGGCCCAAAATCCCCCCAGTGTACGTGTAAAATTTAGGCCAACCCCTTTATCAAATGTACCCTGAAAATGAGGCCAACCTCTTCAGTGTACCCCGAAATGGGGCCCAACCCCCCACCAATGTTTGTGTAATGAGGGCCCCAAACCCCCTCCCCGGTACGTGTAATGAAAGGGAAAACCCCTTTTTCGTGTAGTGTTCATGAAAGGGAAAACCCCCCACCAGTGTAGTGTACATGAGGCCCCTCTTCATTTTAGAGT